GAGCAATGTGATAGCTGTTTCGAATCAATGTCAAGGGAGCAGTCTTGCTTTGCCTGCAGTGTTCTTGTCCTGAATTCAGTCACATGCTTTCTGGGTTTTCTCACTGTAGCCCACTTTAATCACTTGAAGAACGTACACGGAATTTAAGTTCATGTGGCTTTAAAACTCAATTTTTCAGCATGATGTGTTTTTTTGGACTGATATGGGAGGTTTGTTCTGTTTTGATATGTTCTAACCAGAAAACTTAAGTACTGGAGAAAACAGTTAAGGAGAGGTAACCACAAACCCATCTACAAAGGCACTGTTTCTACTGGGCACATGTGCTCTTAGAAATCAGCCACCTTCATGTACTGACCTTAGCTTCCAGTGAGCAGCGCGGGGCTATCAGACCACTAATTGAACTGCCCACTCCAGTGCAGAGACTTTGCCTTTCTGCGAAATCTCATTAAGAACTACAATGTTAAACCAGAGCTCCTTGGAGAAATAGCCAATTCCAGGTCAGGGTAAAAATTGAACAAAATGAGTAGGGAACAGCCTGTCTACAGAAAGCAAGGAATTTGTCAGACTACTGGGGTTATATCAGAAAACAGGATGACTATGCTTAAATCCATATGTTAATAATAATATTTTTTATTTTGAAAAACAACCCTTATTGGTCACTTTTGGAGGATGCTAAGAGCCAACTTGTTATTTGGAAAACTAGTAAGTAAATGGAACGAGTTGAGCCTTTATCCTGCTTTCTTATATGAAATGTAAACTAGGGTAACCAACAGTTGTTGAAAAGTCTCTTTTTATATAGTTCTCCAGCTAATAAATGAAGAAGGAATGATAAACTAAAATATAATCATTTTGTGACTGAATGAAACAGTGGACCTAAGTGGTAATCATAAATGGCATCTGACATAAAAAAAAAAAAGAGATACGTTACATGCATCCTGATGGAAGCATTCAAGACTGCTGTTAAGTGTTCTTGCAAAAAATCTAACATGAAAGGGATCTAGTGGCCAGATTTAACTACCAACTTATAGGAATAACAGGAGATAGACCAACAAGTTCAGTGACACCTCAGAATGTAATCAGCAAATTCCAAACTGTGAAAAACTCTCCAGAACCTGAGACCAAGTGTCTTAAACAAAAAGCAGGGCTAGAGTGAGGGAAGGCGTACCTAAAAGAAAGTTAAGAGGCATGTAACCCAATTATAATGTCTCCTCATTCCAACAAGCCAAGTGTAAAAAAAATTATGCTGAGAAAATTTGAACATTAACTGGATATTTAATATTAAGGAATAGGGCTTCCCTGGTGGTGCAGTGATTGAGAGTCAGCCTGCTGATGCAGGAGACACGGGTTTGTGCCCCGGTCTGGGAAGATCCCACATGCCGTGGAGCGGCTGGGCCCATGAGCCATGGCCGCTGAGCCTGCGCCTCCAGAGCCTGTGCTCCGCAACGGGAGAGGCCACAACAGTGAGAGGCCCACGTACCGCAAAAAAAAAATAATAATAAATAAAAATAAAAAAATAATATTAAGGAATAACTTCAAGTACAATGGAGTCATGATTATATTATAATATATAATACAGTATATGTAACAATATTATATTATTGTTAAAGGATTTTTATCTTTTAGAGATAACTGAAATATTTATAGATAAAAAATGATATCTTGGATTTACTTGTAAATAATTAAGGATAGGGAGGAAGTAGGCAATGTTATAGAGCAGGGCCATAAACGATGGCCCAGACCAAATCTGGCCCACCACCTGTTTTGTTTGTTTGTTTAAATATTTATTTATTTATTTGGCTGATCGGGTCTTAGTTGCGGCACGTGGGCTTCTCTCTAGTTTTGGCGGGAGGGCTCCAGAGTGCGTGGTCTTAGTTGCCCCACAGCATGTGGGACCCTAGTTTCCCAACCAGGGATCGAACCCATGTCCCCTACATTGGAAGGCGGATTCTTAACCACTGGACTACCAGGGAAATCCAATGTTTTTGGTAAATAAAATTTTATTGGAATACAGTCAGGCTCATTTGTTTATGTGATCTATGACTGCTTTCTTGCTACAAAGGCAGAGTTGAGTAGTTGCAACAGAGACTGTATGGCCCACAAAGGCTAAAATATTTACTATTTGGCCCTATGGGGAAAAACCTTCGTGATCCCTGGTAAAGCTGAACTAAGACTGGCCGTGAGTGAATAATTATTGAAGCAGGGTGATGGATACATGGGGGTTAATTATAAAGTATTGTTTCCATTTATATATGCTTGAAATGTCCCATAATAAAAGGGTTTAAAGTTTATTTGTTTGAAGTGCTGAGAGCTTTAGAAAAGGACTTTGACTTGGCCTTTGACTTTGTCACTGAGTATGGCATCCTGGGCCCACTCCAGGGGGCCTACACAACACTGTGTAGAGGGCCTACACAGCACTGTATCCTACACAACACTGCCTCTAAAGACACTCCGAGGGACTGTTTGGCTGGGAATGGCTACGAAGCTAATGACTCTTGGGAGCTCTTAAAATTGACAGAAATTTGTAATAAGTCCTATATATTCTACATAGATAAGCATACATACACATATACATATATTTGTATAGCATGCTACAAAACCACAATACCTTCATTCTTTGGATACAATTACCAAATATAGTGTTTCCTAGAGAAACGTGGAACTAAAGACTCTGTAAGAGCAATTTTATCCAGCAAACAGCTATTTGAGTCTCTGCCCGCCCTCAAGGCATGCTACTAGGCACTTGAGAGACAGAAAGATGATAAGATACTCTTCCTGGCTTTCAGGAACTCCGTGTAGTTAAAGAATTAGGATTACAGTTTGTAGTAACAGGAGGAAGAAGGGAAGCCATTGCAGTAGCTTCTTAGCACACAAGCCCACACCTGCTAAGCATATTAAGGATTGTATCTCATTTAATATTTACAACAAACTGAGGTGAGTGTTATTATCTTCATTTTACACATGAAAACACTGGCACTCAGAGAGAGGAAGTCATTTAAACTCATACTCTGTCGCACTCCAAAGCCCACTCTCCTAAACATCATTGGTAGTTTAAACACTGAAATGAACATTTTTATTACATTTTCACAAGAAGGACCCATTTACAAAGAAGCTCCAGATTATTGTCACTGTGCTGTGTTTCCTCTCATATCCCATGAGTTTGATCTCATTTTTGATAGGTACCTGCAGCAGGAATGAGACATTTTTGCTTTTGCTAGGTTAGAAGAGTAATGTGAAGAAAAGGAAATACTTTGCCTGCTTCATCCACTAATTTCATAATAGTGGAGAAAGTAGATGTCTATCATTTTAAAGAAACATTGGAACTTGTCTGCTTATAAATATAAAACATGGCAAACTGAAGTTTTTCGCACACACTCACACAAAATCCATTCTTTTTTGAGCATGTGGACATTCAGGGCTAGTTCTCAGCAAAACTATGAAGACTGTGTTGTGCTCTAAATATTTAACAACTGGCTCTCTCCCCAAAATATGTATATATGTTTATCATAAATTTTATGATATAAAGGATGCATATTACCCAATTTACAAATAACAATAAAATAATACTCTTTCTTACAAATCCCATATATTTCATTGATTTTCACAGTATGCTTTCATTTATCTTTGTTCAACTCTAGAATCTGTAGCCAACCTATGGTTGCAATTGACAAACAAGTGTAGTTCCAATGACTGTTGGTTGATATTTTTATTTACATTAATGAGTAGGACAAAAATGAAACAATGAAGTCATATGTAATGTGTGTGGCTTCTTTGCTGAATAAAACAGTTTTTTGAATACTGAAAGACTATTTCTTCAAATTTTTTGCAATTCACAATGCAACTGTTACAGGAAGGGGGACGGGCCCCTTCCAGGGCCAGAAAGTGAGCTCTTGTCTAATACTCGGAAATGGATTGTCCGAGGAGACACACGTACTGACAAAGCAAAAGATTTTATTGGAAAGAGGCACCTGGGCGGAGAGTAGCAGGGTAAGGGAACCCAGGAGAAGTGCTCTGCCACATGGCTCACAGTCTTGGAAATACTGAGAAGAGACTGGAGAATTTCTGGCACCTTAACTTCAATTAAGAATTTGACACAATATATATGAAAGTGAAATACTACATATGTAAAATAGTGTTCAGGATATTTGATACAATTTTAGAGCTAAGTGTAAGGGAGAACAAGCATTCCTTTTGGGAGCATGAAACCACAATTACGTCCTGGCTTAATTAAGCTGTGCATTTTGAGCTGCCTCCCGACTTCTGAGAGCTGGTTCCTTATTTGTGATTTGAGTAATAATACTATCAGTCCAGATACTCGTCTGAGTATCCTGAGATCCAAATGGGAAAAAGAAAATGACGAGCGCCTTGTAAAGGGTCAGATTTTGCAAAGGTAGTGGCTTATTATTAAGAATCACAACACTGTGTATCAGCTCCCAGGATTGTTTTCTGGTCTCTGCCTCTAACGACTGGGGGCAGGGAGGGAAGCAGCTACGAACCTTTGACCAGGTTAAGGCATTACTGGTCACTGGTTTTACAAACACGGTGCTGATGAATTAGCTTCTCAGGGTTCTCCAAACTACCTGCTCACGTTTGCTCTATTTACATATAAGTTAATTAAAAAAAAAGAAGTCCTCTCTTTCTTCTTATTGATAGTCCTCAGGACACTTAGGACAAATGTAATTTACAATTGAAAGCTCAGAAGCTCAGATGGGGAAGGAATGTTTACACAACATTCTGCTGTAGCAAGGGTTCCAATTGCAAAGCGGGGAAGGGGCCATTTGCTCTCGCAGGGAAAGAGCCCTGCCCCCCCCTTCTCACGACCCTCCTCTCTCAGCAAGGGTTTGCTCCCGGGTGCACTCGGGTTATCTAGCTGATTCACTGTTGATGTAAAAACAGGGCTGGGCAGGCTATGTTGAAAGCCACTGAAAGCGGAGGAAACTAGTCACGAAACCCCGACTATCAGCTGAGAGATCGCTTCCCGGTAACTCCGGAGAACTGCTAGCACTCTTTCCAGACTGGTGCACGTCCTCGGGGTCTGCCAGGGACGCAGAGCTGTTTCAGCCTCTCTCGGCCGCGACCGCTTCCCCCATGCTTGAGGGCGCCGAGCTGTACTTCAACGCGGACCATGGCTACCTGGAGGGCCTGGTGCGAGGATGCAAAGCCGGCCTCCTGACCCAGCGGGACTACATCAACCTGGTCCAGTGTGAGACCCTGGAAGGTAAGCGCCGCTCTTGCCGTTTAAAAAGGAAAAAAGGGATTGATGCTGCCCACTGGAAGCATGGACCAGGGGCCTGGGAGTCCAGGGCGGGTTCTTAGGCCCAGGGTCCAGACTTCAGGGGTCAATGAACTTGGACGAGGAAAAAATATTACACCTCTATTTTCAGTATTCTCTAAGTAAAATGTAGCATTTCCTTTCATTATGAATGTAGGCAACAAATCACGGCCGTTAGTACTTTGTCACCAACAGAAATTGTGTTTTCATATCCTCATACAGTTCTTACAGATACATTGAGATATCATTTATGTTTTCACTATTTCAAAATTATACTAGATATTGCACTCATCCTTGATATTTAATGTCTTAATAAAGAATCATGTTATTGCACATTTTAAAATATCTTAATAGCTATATTTTAAAATATTTGGTTTCCTTTGTAATGCTATGTATTTTCGTTCTACATATTTATTTATTTATTTATTTTTGGCTGCCTTGGGTCTTCGTTGCTGCGTGTAGGCTTTCTCTAGCTGCGGCGAGCGGGGGTTACTCTTCGTTGCTGTGAGTGGGCTTCTTATTGCAGTGGCTTCTCTTGTTGCGGAGCTCTGGCTCTAGGCACGTGGGCTTCAGTAGTTGTGGCATGTGGGCTCAGTAGTTGTGGCTCACGGGCTTAGTTGCTCCACGGCATGTGGGATCTTCCCGGACCAGGGCTCAAACCCGTGTCACCTACATTGGCAGGCGGATTCCCAGCCACTGCGTCACCAGGGAAGTCCCTCGTTCTACATATTTATAAATATTATCTGGAGAAGGATATCACCAAACTGTCCAGGGATCCATGGCCAAAAAATAATAATAATAATACCCTAAACCTTGGTCTAGAGAATTTTATTCTATTCTACTTACCAGTATCTATTAACACGAGAGTATGCATATTTTTTTTTTGATATTTTTTTTTAACATCTTTATTGGAGTATAATTGCTTTACAATGGTATGTTAGTTTCAGCTTCACAACAAAATGAATCAGTTATATATATACATATATTCCCATATCTCTTCCCGCTTGCGTCTCCCTCCCTCCCACCCTCCCTATCCCACCCCTCCAGGCGCATATTTGAAGTTTGTCTTTAATGGAGCTTAAGAAAAAAATCAAGAGGCATGGTATGTGGTGAGGCCATCCTAGATTCAAAAGTCCTGACTTTGACCTCTGCCAAGAATAGGTAGGTGACTTGGGGCTGAAAGCCTCTGAGCCTGATTCCTTATTTGTAAAACTTGATGGTAACGCCTGCTTTGCTGAGTTGTTTGGAGAAATAAATAAGGCAGGACATGAGAGAACGTGTTAAGAACTGTGAAGCACTCTACAAATGGAAATGATCTCTTTCTTTTAACCACTTTATGAGGTATGATTGACATGCAAAAAGCTGTGCATATTTAACGTATACAACCTGATGAGTTTAGAGATAGGAATACACCTGGGAAATCACCACAATCTATGCCATAAACCCATCCATCACCTCCAGAGGTTTCCTCCTGCCCTCTGTTATTACTGTGTGTGTGTGTGTGTGTGTGTGTGTGTGTGTGTGTGTGTGTGTGTGTAAACTATAGGCTGTATGCTGTACAGTAGAGCGCTACAGTAGATTTCTAGGACTTATTCATCTTGTATAATCAACACTTCGTATCCGTCTCCTCATTCCCCCCCACCCCAATTCTGGAAATTATCTTTTTCTTTAAAAAAAATTATTTATTTAAAATATTTATTTATTTATTATTTTTTTGGCTGCGTGGGGTCTTAGTTGCGGTATGTGTGCTTCTCTCTAGTTGTGGCGCACAGACTCCAGAGCACATGGGCTCAGTAGTTGAGGCACAAAGGCTTAATTGCCCCGCTGCGTGTGGGACCTTAGTTCCCCAACCAGGGATTGAACAAGCATCCCCTGCATTGCAAGATGGATTCTCAACCACTGGAATACCAGGGAAGTCCCTGGAAATTATCTTTAAGCTACAGTATTTTCAAAGGCTTACCAAAGATTTCACATTTAAATATATAGTATTTTTATTATTAAAAACACTACATTTGTTTACTTTGAAACATGCTTATAAAATTAATATAATAATGTCAATAATAGAGTGCTTTAAAACTTCTAGATTATTCTAGAAAAAACAAGAAAGCACTAAGGATCAAGACTGCCAGGAAGAGTATTAGAAGGCAAAATAAAACAAAAACTCAGAGGTGACTTTGCAAGCTTCTCAAGTAGGGCCGATGTTCCTGAGGTCACCTTATGGTTCTGACCAGTTAGAGCCAGAGTTAAGGCAGAACTGCCCAAGTTGAGGGAGACCCTCTCCTTTCATTAGCAATGGAAACAGCTAGACAAATCTTGTAGATGATAACTAATTCTGTTGGCTACAAATAATTACAATATAATCTCAAATCCTAAATCACTTCAGCATATTTAATTAGGAGTTTGGTGTCCGGAGAATGTTAATCTTATATATAAAATCAGCATAAATTAAGGTAGAAAAAATTAGTGAACACAGAGCATAATGAATGCTTCTGAGAGAAGCCATTTGAATGAATTCTCAATAGTTTTCAGTCAAGCTTTTAAATGGGCTGAGGAATGCAAATTTAAACATAAACAATACGTGAAATGTCTTCATGATACAAAGCAAGGTTTAGCCAGCTCACTAAAGAATTCAGAGAAAAACCACCCTCAGCTTCAGTTTGGGGGAGAAGGAAAGGTTTCAGACCCTTTTGAAGACCCGAAGAATGAACTTCTTAGAAAAATACACACAGGTGCATACATTTAGAATTTTCCATATAACATCAGGCGGTCATGGACCACCTGAAGTCATCCTGCACCCCGAGTAAGAAACCCTCTTATATACACCATTGCTTTATTGTCATTGTATCTCATGGTTTCTACCTTTCTTTCCTCCCATTAATATATATATTTTTTCAACCATTCGTTTTACAACTGTGTTTGAATCTGTTGCCAATCTGTTCGGAAACTCTTAGGAATATCGAATATGAGCCATCAAACTATAGGTTATAATGATGCATGAGAAAATCAATCTAAATAAAGTAAGGGTTTCATCTCCTCAGTTAACTGTTGAGGACTCTGAGGCTTAGAGTGGCTGTGACTAATCTAACCACCTTGTCAGGGGAGGGGTATGCAGACATCTGCATCTGCTTTTCCACTAAAATGTCTGCCTCCTGAGCATGAATGGAAGATACATGAATAGGTCCAGGTTGCTCTCAGCTCCATTTTTTTTTTTTTTTTTTTTGTGGTACGCGGACCTCTCACTGTTGTGGCCTCTCCCATTGCAGACCACAGGCTCTGGACACACAGGCTCAGTGGCCATGGCTCACGGGCCCAGCCGCTCCACGGCATGTGGGATCTTCCCGGACCAGGGCACGAACCCGTGTCCCCTGCATCGGCAGGCGGACTCTCAACCACTGCGCCACCAGGGAAGCCCTCAGCTCCATTTTGATATAGAAAATAATGTCTGTCCTGCCTGTTTATTTTATAAGATGTTGCGAAATAAATCACTTGTGAAAAGCAGTGCAACTGTTGCATGTGTGAATGTACGGAGAGAAACCCAGCCACCTTCCAAGCTGGCTTAAGACATGAAGAGAAGAACTCAACGACACTCATTGAGACAGAAGTTAAGGATTTTAGGATTTGTTTACTTTCTTACATAATATGCACCATACAAATTATGGGTAAAGAAGAGTAGGTAAAACAGTGTCAGGATAGTATTATGTGTTGAAGCATTTTCTGTAAAGGAAAGCTAACTTGGCAAAGCTTATATTTGCCTTTAGTATTTTGAAGTCCTCTAGTCTTTAAAAGAAAAGTGTCCTGATACCAACAAGTTGTTTTAGAACCACTTACCAGGAACATATAAGGTTTCAGGTAAATTTGGAAGAGAGAAACATGAAAATTGTCCAGAAAAGCTTTGAAAAATCCTAGTTTTTATGATTGTGTGAGTGTGGTCAGAAATACTCATCCACTCCAAGGCCTGACCCTGACTAACAGTGACCTGAACCAGTCACTAGGACCCTCTGTGACTCAGTCCTTCCAGGGGACAGGAGAGGAAGCCAGTTCACATGGCCTGTGTCGATGGTACTGCTTGGAGGCTATATTCACATAGAAAATTCTTAAAAGTAACTTTTAAAACAAGTTCTTTAAAATTAACTTGAACCAAAATAATAATGTTAAAGGGACATGAAATAGTCTTTAAAAGAATTAACACTGCTAATTTTTTTAATTAAAACTTTTTTTAGAGCTGTTGTAGGTTCACAACAAAATTAAGGAGGAAAGACAGAGATTTCCTATATAACCCCTACTCCCACACATGCATAGCCTCCCCCCTATCAACATCCCGTACCCCCTATCAACATCCCGTGCATTTGTTATAATCAGTGAACCTACACTGATACATGGTAATCACCCAGAGTCCAGAGTTGACAATTCAGTCACTCTTGGTGTTGTACATTCTATGGGTTTGGACAAATGGGTAACGTGTATCCACCACTATTGTATTATACATAGTATTTTCACTGCCCTAAAATTCCTCTATACTCTGACTGTTCTCCCCCTCCCTGACCCCCAGCCCGGCAACCACTGATCACTTTACTGCTTCCTTAGTTTGGCCTTTTCCAGAATGTCACATAATTGGAATCATACAATATGTATGTAGCCTTTCCAGACTGGCTTCTTTCACTTAGTGACATACCTTTGAAGACCCTCCATGTCTTTTCATGGCAACATTGCTATTTTCATCAGATTTTTTTTTAAATTACAAACAAGACTTTGTAAGTATTCTTTCTTCTTCAGAAAAAGGACAAAGTGGTAAAATGAATACTTCAGAGCTTTAGAATTTAGTAAGAAATAGCCTTTTCTAAAATTTATGGTGAAAGTGATATCTGACTCTCAGGGTGTGGTAAGAGCGCTCTGGACCCAGCATTTACCTCGTCCTCTTTGCCATCATTTCTGGGACGGGGATGAGA